GTAGTGGTAGTGGTAGTGGTAGTGGTAGTGGTAGTGGTAGTGGTAGTAGTGGTAGTAGTAGTAGGTAGTAGTAGTAGTAGTAGTAGTAGTAGTAGTAGTAGTAGTCGTAGTAGTAGTAGTAGTTATTAGTAGTTCGTAGTAGTTAGTAGTTAGTAGCTAGTAGCTAGTAGGTAGTAGTGGTAGTAGGTAGTAGGTAGTAGGTAGTAGGTAGTAGGTGGTAGTAGTAGTAGTAGTGGTAGAAGTAATAGTAGCAGTAGTAGTAGTAGTAGTAGTAGCATATAGTAGTTGTAGTAGTAGTAGTAGTAGGAGTAGGAGTAGTAGGAGTAGTAGTAGTAGTTGTTGTTGTTGTTGTTGTTGTTGTTGCCCGCTCCCCCCTGCCTACTTAATTAAGTAGGAGCCTGCATAAGTACTGTAAGTATGGCGACTACTTCGGTACTAGGCTAAGTAAGCTTCTAGTAACTGGACGTAGGATAGCTCACGCTCGCACTTATGGTTTCAAGATTTTTCGGAAGCTTCAGCAAACAGGAGTCTCATCAAACAGTGCTTGCACAAGACAGTACAATCCTGTGTGTATGTGTGTGTGTTGAGTGTTCCAGAGGCCTTGAGACATTCTTGCTTGGTCTCATGTGAATCCCTTCACAAAAATACCCCTCCTCTCAATGGAAGCAGTGCCTCCATGCCCCGCCATGTCTTCTGAGACTGCCACTCTTAACTTCATCAAGTTCTTTTGGTAGGTGTTCGGCAAAGTCCTTGGCTACACGCCCAACATGTCCCGGAGTTGGATGTGTTTTTTTGCACCAACTCCATAGCACGAGGCTGGGCCGCTGGAAGGTGCACCGCTGACTATTTCAAAGGGTTTGTCCCCACATCTAAAAAACTCCACTGTAATTATGTAGCGAAGACGCAAAAATGAACGACATACTGGTAGCATACCAGAACTGCGATCAGTGACCATAAAAGAAAAGCAACAGCTCAACAGCGGCTCAACATACCAGCAGCTTGCTCTCCTCTTCCGTCCAGTTTCGTGGGCGCTCTACATTGGTGTCGTGGGCGCTGGAAGCAGCACGCACACACGTGCTCTGTAGTTATACAATTCAGTCCTAAGGCTGCAATGTTTGGGGCTAGCAAGACATGCATCACACTTACACCCGAGGGATCCCGAAGGTTATTGCTGGTAATCCACCCACTTAATTTCTAAACATTCAACCATGTGCCTCCGTGTTATGTTACTACAAAACCTCTCCAGCCTTTGCACAGCTCGAGTGTCCAATTCTGAGAAGGAGAACTCGGAGACAAGATGGCCTAGCCACAAATCAAAGCCCAGGAGGCCCAAGATCAGGATGTTCCAAGAATGGCTCAGTCGGGTTGGATGACTCTGACTTGGTCGAAGAACATAGCCTAACTGGGATAGAACAGGGCCTACAATTGCAGTGACATTTAGTCTCCCCGGATTCCCTCATCAAACGTATGTCTCCGCGTGTTTGCCTTTTCCCACAAAACTGTGCTCAAGACACAATCAATTCATGTTTTGTTCGCAAGCTTTCAACGGTCGCAACGGTTGCAGTTGAGCAAGTGGAGAAAGCTCGTCTTCACCCTAGCTGCTTAGCATTCTTTTCTCAGCTCCCTTCCTCCCTTCTCGCCTCAGATTGCTCTTCAAAGACGAAGCCTCAAATCGTTTCGGTTGGAGAAACAAGGGATCGACGGTCCTTATTGTACATTGCCAACAACATGCAAGTATGGAACCACACAAACCAAGTGCAAGATTGGCTCTGAAGAATGATGCATAACCATCAAATCACACCTCCAATCCTCAAAGAACGAGACCAACACCCCGTGACCATCTGTCTCTGGGTTTCCTCTTTTGACCACGCCGTGGGCGGAGCTCAGTTCCGCCAAGTCCAACCGGTGTCAAGACGAGCGACTTCGCCACTCGTTCCGCTTGCTGCGCCGGGTTTGGCTGGGCAGCCTTGGGAGCAGCGACAAGAGCGGCTGGTGGAAGAAGAGCAGTGGGTTTTGGGTTTTGGGTTTAGTGACAGCTGCAGGTCTGAGGGATATTCTTTGTGAAGTTGAATGCTTTCAGTGATTCATTGGAGGTTCAATTTCCAAACAAATGCCCCTCACCTAAGGGATTTTCGGTGTAGAAGAATTCGCTGGCCAGTCCTGCATGCGGCTTTTGTACCTACTGTAGTCGTCATCTTCCAAAGTGCCACGTTGCGCCAGCCGTCTGAGAGAGTCACTTCCCCCACCCCGAATCTGAAGTGGCATCCTCATCTTAAAGCCTCCAGAAGCAAGAGGATCTAGCCTTTTTCGGATCGGCTAAGTCCATTTCTCATACCAATGATAAGTATGTACGTACAGTGTGTGTATTACATATATTTATAACATGTTTATGTAATAGTAATATACAATATATTCACAGAGACCAAGGCTTCTGACACCCCCTCCCAAGAAAGGACTAGACTTCTGCAGCAGGACAAGAATTTATAATCTCTCTGGCGTGAGAAGTTTATCGACGTTTACTGAGTATACTTTATCTATCTTCAAGAGTCCGTAAAATATTTGCCATATAGATATGTACGTGGTATGTGCGGGGGGTTCGGGGGGGTATTTTCCGTACGTGAACGTGTACGTGAACGTGTGCGGGGGTTTGAACGTGGAGCGTGCGAGCAGGTGGTCGATGAACGGACGTGCAGGTATGCGAGGGGAACGGGTGTCACGATCCTTTTGCTTCCCTCATCGCTGCTTCCACGTTCGAGTCAAGTGGTAGGTTGGCCCATCATCATCCAGCATCAAACGGTCTCAAAACCATATCAATTCAATTTGAATCGATACATGAAGTGAACACAGGATCCAGAATCCTAGTTGTGAAAACTAACATTTGAGTAAGTTTGTTATTAATTCCCAGGGCCTGCCAAGCAACTGTACACCGAGTCAATTGCAAGACTCAATTACTGAAGACTTGATCAGTGTGATCTGTCTTTAGCTGGTCAATTGAGACACCATGTTCATGATGTCTTCTGTTTCATCCTGTTCAGACGGTGACATCATTCTGAGTGAGCACAAGACCGACATAATCACGGCGCAAAGCACGTTGCCAGCAAATCTTAGCAGAAGTGCGCGTTGCAAAACAAAGATCTTTGGAACAACATAAAAATCCAAATGAAGCGATGGAAGCTGATCTGCAAAAAGTGACTTGACATTGTTTTGTTTTCCACATATGATTTATACTATGTATATTACTATAGACTAACTACTAATATATATAGATATGATTCGATATATACAATAATAGTCATAGTCATAGTCATATGTCACTAATTATTATGTCGCCTCATCCTTATGGCTTTTCATTGGTTCAGTTCAGTTGTTTGTTTGAACTGCTGCCGAGCTGCGCATTTCCAGCCATATCGCCCAGTTGCGATTCAGTAGCATCATGCTCTTCAGGCACAGAGTGCCCTTGCAAAAGCATAAGCTCTGTTCCAAGGAGCAGGCGCTGTTTCAAATATGACCATCCTATGGTCCTTGGCAACACGATAGGAAAATTACCTGTAGAAACACTGTACCTGTTTGCCGAGTGGTAGCAGTCACAATACTCGATCGGACGGCCAAGTCGGTAACGCTCGTCTGCGCCAAAAGCCACCACCTGCATTGTTCGTCCATGTCCAAAAGGTAAAACACCATGGAGCATCCACTATATATTACATTCTATTATTTTTATATAATTCAAATAGCACGTAAATGTAACTATGACTATGACTCTAACTATAGTATACATCCAGTCCCTTCAAAAACAAGTCAGTTAAAACAATAGTTTACATCACACACTTAGCACAGCGCCTCTTGTGCTCTTTCTGTCAGCACGGAAAACCATGGAGATGCTTTCACCTCTGCATGAACGTCCAGTGGCCACATGATTCCTCCTCGGTTCACAGAGTCAGGTTCCAAGGGTCTTTAAGTGTGCGGTATGAGATGGTAAACACATATCTCATAGATCAGTATCAGTTTCAGTATCTTTTGATTTACTCACTCACTCAGGTGAATGAATGACGGTGGATTGAACACCTAGAATCTCTACAGCCTGCAACATCCAGTGTGAAGGATGCCGATGAACTATTGTTCATTCAATAGAAAAGGAAATATGAAATGTGTTCAATAGCGGAAGAAGCAGAAATTATCAAGGAAGTAGGTTGTAGTCATTCGGTCATTCTACAGTTGCTGCTTCTACTGTAACTCTTCTAAGACATACTGACATACTTCTTCTGATGTGGCCAAGGGGCTTTTCTCTGCAAGACTCATGTGCAGAGTGGTCCAGCTCGGCATCTTGGATGATTTCTCAGATTCCTGTGCCTGCTCCCTTGCCACTTTCTCAGCGCGCTCAGTTTGAAGATGTTCGAGGTGATCCAAGACAAGCGGATCGTCATTGCTCATCAAAAGGTCATCCTCAGCAGGTAGGTGATCATTGGAATTTGATTCCACTGCCATAGCTGTTGCCATAATATTTAGCCACTTACTTATATACATGTTTCAGACTTGGCTGAGAGTCAGCGGGTGGTGGTGTGATGTAGAGCTTAGTCAACAACGTCTTCACAGATTGGAAAAAGTCATCAGCAGAACAAGAAATCTGTGCTTGGGCCACACGAAGACAAACAATGTAGACTCTCTTCCTGGATTGCGGCAAACCATACCATAGTGCATCCAGTAGAAAGCTTCTGCTGATGTAGCCCCGTCCTTCAAGTTCCTTCAAGCACAGCTCGAGGTTGGTCTGCCTCAGGTATTGTGGTTCATTTCAATGGCTCAATGAAAATAGTTTGTAAACATATAATTTAAGCATGTAATCATGCAATGACAAAAATACACAATTCAAGATACAGAACCTGACTTAAATTGAACTAACTCAGCGACCAAGACACAAGTCTGGATCCACTTCCTTGTCTATACTTTCCACGTTCTCAAAAATGGCCCAAGATGGAGTGGATAAGTCCAAAACATCTAGGCAAGCGTGAAAGGTGGAAACACTCGCCACATTGCCCTGAGCCGGTGCAATGGCGTTTGACTTCTGACACACGTGATGCCCAAAAATATTATATAAATTATTTATTATTTATAAGTTCGGCGTGTAACAGGAACATATTATGTGTGTTGGTCTGTATGTAGTCTTATGTCAGGATTGTGTCTTTGCCTAGCCTATAAGTGTTTTTATTTTCCGCCAATATCCATCACCATATCAAAGAATATCTACCCAACCTGTATAGTGAGATTTTTCTAAACAAGAACTAAGGCGCTTCTGGATCGTTCTCTCTAGCCTTGTGCATTGCAGTGGCATTCTTTGAGGCATCCTTACTCAAATTACTGTAGGATGTACAGGAAAATCCGGCTCCAAATGCATCTATGTCTGGCACACAGCACGGATCCGAATGAACTGCACAGTGTCGCTTCTCGTCGTCCTTCAAGACAGTCGCATCCTGATCGTGAGGAAGAATGTCAAAAGCAACGAACACATGGCTGACGGACTTTGCAGAAACTTGAATCTCATGCAGTCATATGGAATGATTTAAGCTGAGACACCTTAAACAAGCATGCCTCCTCATCGTCATCATCATTGTACAAAGTTGACAAAACAGAACGGCAATAATTTGCTTTGAACTCAACCTTCTCTGATGCAAATCGAGCATGTACCTGGGCGATATATATAGACATAAACTATTTATGCAACTAGACCATTGATATATGATATATGATATGATATGATATATATTGTGTAATTCAGTAATATAAATTGGCGGCGCTGGCACATAGACTTTGTCAGTTTCAACAGCGTCGCAATAGAGATCAAAAAATGTTTCAAGTGCAAGTGGAAATAATAAGAGTCCAGCAACTGAACTGGGAGGCAACCCAAAGACCTCCCTCAATTGGTGAACAGCCTTGCAAAGCACTTGCTCAAACCTGAGAACATGCAAAACAGGATCTGATTATGACAGCAGCAATGCAGCAGAGTCAGTCTGTCAATAGTGCACTGCATGTTTGGCTATGATTCTATGATTGACAGTTTTTAACTTCAATAATTTGCCACCAAATCACGCCCCTGTCCCAGAACAAATGGAACCGACATTCATTTGCGTGGACTGACTTCGCAAATTGGTGAGCAGTTGAGAGTTCGGGTCCGTGCAATGGTGCTTCAAAAGAAGCGCAGCCATTACCTTGGAAGCAGAGTCATGGTTGACACGCTAGCTCCGTTGGCCCAGTGCAAAGCTGTGACCAAAACCATGAGTTCAAAAAAACAAATTGAAACAAGCACCAAAGCTTCTTCAGCCGCACTCTTCTGCATGTCATTGGTATTCGGGTACCGTTTCAACACACTCTCAAAGTAGGTCTCAAGGAAGGTTGTAGAAGTAGTTCCCAAAGAGTTCAAACGAGGCGGCTTTGGACGGTCATCATAATCATCATCAGCATCATCGACACATGGTACACCGTTTGGAGATTCCTTCTCCTGCTTGATCTCAACCTTTATGTGTACACCACCTTAGGAATTCAACACAAATCAGAGTAGGTGACCACCACCATTCTAGTTGTAGTTAAAGTTAAAAGTTAAAGTTATAGTTATAGTTAGTTAGTATAAAATTTGTAAGTTCTAAAATAGGTAAATAGCTGCCATAGTCTGAGTCATAGACGAGTCAATAGTCTTAGTTGCGAATTATGAAAACTGAATCAAGTTATTCAGCAAAACATAAGTTTCAGACTATGATGGCTATGGCTCCAGGTTGTACCGTCCACTGGTTTGTAAAATTGCAAGATGCTACCGATATTACAGAGTCTGGTTGTTGGCAACTCTCTGGATAAAATGATCCAAGAGACCAACAGCAGCATCATCAGGCCTTTGGCTTGCCAGCTGCCCGTTAGCCTCTTGCTTTTGGGTTGTTGCAGCAAGCTGTTCCGGGACTTTAGCCTGCAAGCAAACGGCTTCTCGTG